ACAGGCAAAGTTATCATTGATGATGCTATATATCAGTGTCACATTAGATTCTTACTTGAAGTCATTAATTTAAAAGCTCTGGATGATCTGATGATGACTGTTGATGTGTTTTTAGACATATAAGGATACTTTATGTAGAGATTGAAGAGCCAAACACTGAAATGTGCTTGTTAGATTCAGCACCTTACAGTAAAAATTTTATCACACTCTCTCTGTTCTGGAAAACAACCTTGACTCTTCTCAGCATGGAGCCGTATAAGGGCATAGATTATTTGGTTTAATGGGATTTGTATAGTTGGATGGGGAAAAGATTAATTCTTTATGAAACTTCTTTGGTAGAAAGATTGAAGTAAAAGATAAAAGTTACACTTAAGAAAATTCATAACTGAATCATGCTTAATTTTTGTTCACTTGAAGGCTATTTAGGAATGATTATTATCAAGCAGAAGCAAATGCTTTTTCAAACTAATTCATTCAATCACAAAGAAAAAGAAAAAATGGTGAATGTCTTGATTGGCTTGGGGCAAACTGTAGGGTTTATTTAAAGCACATTTATTGTTGAGGTGCCAAATTGTTCAAAGACATTTTGGTTCTGGGAAAAGATATACTGCAGAGGTTATATCTTTACTCCTCAAAAGGTCTTTGGAATAGAAGGACAGGAATTATCTGAAATCATTTCTAGGTGATTTTTTATTCGATCTTTTTCTGTGTTTATCTCATTCAGTTGGACAAATGTGCATTGAATTCCTGTTCTCTTCAAGGCAGACCAGTGTATTCATGGCTTGGCGCTGCTGAACCCAGTTGCCATCAACTAGTGGTTCCAGAAGTCTCTGAGCAGTGCAAATGTTTAATATGGTTGGCTACTAACTGAAAAGCTGGAGCTTCAAGTCTACCCAGAGGTGCCTTGAAAGAAAGGTTTGGTGATCTACTTCCGAAAAATCCCAATGGAGCACAGTTGTACTCAGACATACAAAGTCAACTAAACAGCAACTGGTTGGAGTGGCCTAAAACAACAGAAATTTGTTCTTACATTTCTGGAAGTTAGAAGTCCAAAATCAAGATGTCAGCAGGAACACAGTCCTTCTAGAGGTTGGGGGTAGATTCTGCCCCTTGCTTCTTCCAACTTCTGGTGGCTACTGGCATTCCTTGGCTTATGGTTGATCACTTAAACTCTGCATCTGTGATTATATTGCTTTCTCTGTGTCTTAAATCTCTATCTGCCTCCCTTTTATAAGGATGCTGGTTATTGCATTTAGGGCCCACTAGAATAATCCAGGTTAATCTCCCCATCTCATGATCCTTAACTTCATCATGTCTGCAAACCCCTTTTTTGCCATGTAGTGTAACATTCCCAGGTTCCGGGGATTAAACCAAAACCCATTGCCAATGAGTCAAATCTGACTCGCAGTGACCCTGTAGAACAGAGTAGAACTGCCGCATCGTGTTTCCAAGACTGTAAATCTATGGAAGCAGACTGCCACATCTTTCTTCCATGAAGAATGGGTGGGTTTGACCTGTGGACCTTTCAGTTAGCAGCCAAATGCTTAACCACTGTGCCACCAGTGCTCCTTTTCCAGGGATTACGATGTAGATATATTTTTGGAAGTCAGTATTCGGCCTGCCACAACCTTAAATATGTGATTTCATGTACTACCTTCTACCTACTTTCTACCAGAACATGAGGCACATGTCCATAAACAAAAAAAAAATTGCCAAAACATTGACCCAACTGGCCTAGGACATTGGCAGGTATATTTGACACCATAATTCATCCTGCATATCTGGGATTGGTGGTCTTGTCAGTCTTGAAGACCACCTTGTCAGTCTAGCCAGAGCAACTGAACACATTTAAAGATGAAAGGCAGAGTAGTTCAAAAAACAAATAGCTGCTATTCCTTGGTTCAATCCAACTGAATGGGTAGAAGACCATATTCAAGGGTGATGTACATGTCCTATTTGAATATTTAGTCCCTCAACAGCCTCACCTCAACTTCCTTCTGGCCCTCCTGCTTTTTCGGTATTTTCTCATCTTCTTTAGAAGGAGCTTTTTTTACTACTTGCTGTGAAATGGAACCTTTTCGGACTTCCCTCGTCTCCTTCCCCCTTCCTATCAAGCTGTCTGCAGTCCAGGGAGTTTTCCACTCCAACCAGTGCAATACGTAATCCGTCCGCAGTTGCATAAGAATTTAGAAATAATGAGACTATTCAAAAATGCTCTGGCATACTTCCAGTAAAAGGTCAATGTGTTTACACTGAAAAAGGTGTGGGATTATGTATCCATGCTTTGTGTTAATTCTCCTTCACTTCCTGTGTTCCTCATTGAGATGACTGGCCCTTCCTGTGGACTCTGTAGAGTGAGGTGGTAGTGTTCTAAAAGGTAGAGATAGCAATTAAACCTTGTAGTATCTTCTAAGTGAGACCTTAGTAGTCAAGCTAAAGTATCTGAGAAGAACCAACTTTGGCATGGCATAATGAAAATATTTTTTAGCAGCTAACCATGGGTATGTCTTTGAGATTTTTACAAAAAGGACCTATTTATTGAATGGTCCATTCCTCCCCAACCCCTATGCCTTGTAAGAGAAGCCACTGTTTTTCCTATTAACTTTCTCTGAAGTCCATTTGACTACATTATGTACTTTCATTTGTTCCCACTTTAAAATCAATTACTTGTATCAAACTGCTGTTAAATGTGATTGCCTTGGTCAAAAGTTTTAGTCTGTAGGTCATAGTTATGTTGTCTACATAAAATAGGCCAGTTACTGACCCTAATGCCAGGCCTTGGGAAGTATTTCAGAGACAGGGCATGGAAAAGCCCTCCCCGTGCTCTAATTCAAAATTGGGAAAATTCAGGATACTCCAACATTGTTTTGCCAAAGTTCCTCTCATCTTCTTGTGAACACCAAAACTCTAAAAGTAAGTAGTTAAATGGGTATTATGTCAGCTTCCATCTCCATTAGGAATCTTCTTAGAGATAAAGATCAAAATTACCATTCTCCTTCTATCAGCAACCTCCCCACCCCAAAATCCTTCACATACTGCAGTCGTTATGATGAAATTAATACCAAAAATAGAGATGAATATTTCAGGCATTATAGTAAGGTCTGGGAAACAAATATGTACTGGGGACTTACATTGTGTGAACTTGGAAAGATCCTGAGGATACCAGAGTTAAACCAACCAAAGATGATACAAACTGATAGAAGCTTTATTTACATTTTTGATATTTTCTTTTTTATATTAGAAGCTTCTTATGCTATTCTCTTTAAAATAAAAATCAAAGGGAAATACCAGCAGGGATGATTGGAGGGAATGAGAAAAGCAAAGTACATGTGAAGGAGAGATGTTTCACCCACTCTTCTCCACAGTCTGGTATAACAGAGAGGCCACAAAAAAAATTGTTTTTTAAAAAACATTTTATTGTGATTTGGGTGAAATTTTACAGAGCAGATTGATTTTCCATTCAACAGTTCATACACATTTTGTTTCATGACATTGATTATAATCCCCACCATGAAGCAGCTCTCTTCCCACTTCTACCCTATGGTTACCTTTTTTTCCCTGTGGCCTTCTTTCCTGTGCATTCCTGCCTCCCTTGGTTTCTCCCTGTGCACATGCTACCCTTCCGATCTCCCATGGTTGATTGTTCTAAGTTACGCATCTTCCAGGTACAGTTGTTCAGCTCATAGGCCTTTCTATTCTTTGGCTAAGAATTAAGCCACAGGAGTTCAATGCCAGGCCCAAAGGGTGAGAAGGGACCATAGTTTTGGGGTTTCACTACCCTCTATCTGAGCAGTAATCTTGGTCTTTTTCTCCTGAGTTTGAGTTTTGTTCCATAGTCTTCTCCTACTGTATCCAGGATCTCCAATTTTGATACTTTTCCTAGTGGTTGGCTGTGGTAGCTGGGCACCATCTAGTTCTCCTGGTCTCAGGGTCATGGAAGCTGAAGTTCCCATGGTCCACTAGTCCCTTGGACTAATTTTTTCCATGCATCTTTGGTTTCCTTCACTTCTTTGCTCCAGATGAGGAGAGTCTAAGAGTTACATCTTAGATGGTCACTCGCCACCTTTTAAGACCCTAGTCATTACTCACCAAAGTAGGGTGTAGAACAATGTTTTTTGTGTACTATGTTATGCCAATTGAGCTCGATGTTCCCTGCGACCACGGTCCCCAGCTTACAGGCCCAGCAACTCACTCTCTCAATGTACTTAGAAACACATCATTTTTTAATCACTCTTTAGTGCTAATGTTTAGTTTCTATAGTTGGTTTTTCTCAACACTCAAACTCACTCACTGCCATCGAGTCGGATCCGACTCACAGTGACCCCTCCTTGGGTTTCCGAGGCAGTATCTCTATGGAAGTAGATTGCCCAGCCTTCCTTCCAAGGAGTGGCTGGTGGGTTTCAGTGGCCAGTCTTCTGGTTAGCAGTCAAATACTTTAGGTATTTGGCCACTGAATAACTCATCCACAACAGCTTGAGGCAGTCTGCAGATTATTTTTCTCTGCAAAAATATTTGTGCTCAAGCATGGCAAAGATTGTGAGGAAGGCTCAGGACTGGGCAGTGTTTCTTTCTGTTGTACATAGGGTCACTGTGAGACAAAAAAAAAAAAAAAACTCAACAGCACCTAACAACAACAAGAACATCCATATTTTGACATAGAAGGCAGGGATGTGTATCATTTCGATCCCATCAGATTAAAAATTTTAAAAATAGAAAGTCTTCTTACTTTATGGAATTTGGAGAGGGAAAAGAAGCTTCACAAATGATCAACTCTGGTATTTCTTAATATTGTTTCTTCAAGTTTAGAATCAAAGAGGAAGAAAATTGGGATCAAATGAAGGGAAGAAGAAAAAAAGGATGACTCTAGACTTACTCTAAATATTTAAGGAAAAACTTTTACTAACACATAAGTGCAAAAGTCATCCATCTTTGATCCTTACTTGTTTAATTTTGTTTACTAATGAGATGTACTTTCTTCATTTCAGGTCCTGAATATAATCATGGCCAAGCCTTATGAATTTAACTGGCAGAAGGAAGTCCCTTCTTTTTTGCAAGAAGGAGCAGTTTTTGACAGATATGAAGAGGTAAAGAGATGCTATTAATCTTTTTTCTCAAAACATTCTGATAATTATTTAATTTTAATTACAGTATTAAATAAATATTTCTTGATGTGAGTAAGGACATCTGTGCATTTCAGATTTATAAATTAGAAGAGTTGGAAAGAAGCAAGTTTGGAGATGTAATAGTGACACTATAATTTACTGAGTGCTCACCTAGTGTCAGATACAATAATAATTATATTAATACTGTATTTTATGTAGCATTGACTGTGTGCCAGACAATGTTCTACACACTTTATGTATATTGTGTAGAACATTGTCTGGCACACAGTCAATGCTACATAAAATATAGTATTAATATAATTATTATTGTAGTTTAAGAGCTCTGGTGGCATAGTGCCTAAGGCACTTGACTGCTAACCAGAAGGCTGGTGATTCAAACCCACCAGCCACTCCTCGGAAGGAAGGTTGAGCAATCTACTCCCATAGTAATACCACCTCGGAAACCTGAGGAGGGGTCACTATGATTTGAATCCGACTCCACAGCAGTGAGGTTCTTTTTTTTTTCTTTTCTTTTTTTTATGTATATTATTTTTAATTCCTCACAACATCCTTATAAAGTAGTGACTATTGTTAGCCTTGTTTTATAGATGGGTTTCCTGTAGTAACAATTTTTGCTTAATGGTGTGCTTTGGCAATCTTTCCATGTGAAACTTTCTATTCTGCATAGATGTAATAGTGATCGGACTCTGTGCCAGTCGTTTACTGTGCTCATCTCATTTACATAGCAGTTCGACCAAAGCTTCACTTGCCTATGCCTCTATCTTTTGTTGTTTGTGCTCTTACAAGTTGGTGATGGCTCTAGGTTTTCTTGGAGCAGGGACTTGGGTCCACCAGTCTGTTCGAGGGGCAGGATAGGAGAGTGGAAGCCTCACTTTTGTTGTCCATGCATTGTTTTTCTTAGAGTGCCTTGAATTTGAGGTGATTTCCTTAGGGCTATGTAATAAAATTGCTATTGCCTCTAAGGCAAAGTAAAATATAAAAGTTTTTACAGTTTCACTTAGAGTCAGATTGGTTCCTTTCATAATCAGTGAAATGTATGTGGTAACTAACTGGCTGGCTCTCCCAGAGGTTCAGATTGCCAGATGCAGAAACTACCTTTTCATGAGTTCTTCTGTGGGTTGCGTTGACTTACTACTTGTAATCTTGTTTTTTCCACCCTGCATCTATAGGGTTGCTATGAGTCAGAATCAACTCAACAGCAAGGGGTTTGATTTTGGTTTTGTATCATAATACTCTCCAATTTTATCATAGTTGCTTTTGGACCCAAATGTGGTGACGATTCCTTAAACTGAATTAAAGAATGTAAACAATAGCTATTAATATGACTGGTATATTATTGTCTTCAAGAAATAAAAATTAACAGCATCCCCTACAAGAAGAAACAGAAAAATAATATTCTACCACTTGGAGACCAAAACCAAAACCAAACCCACTGCCCTTGAGTTGCTTCTGACTCATAGCAACACTGTAGGACAGAGTAGAACTGCCACTGAAGGCAAACTGTAGATCTTTATATAAGCAGACTGCCACATCTTTTTCCTTTTCAGAGAGCTTGGTGAGTATGAACCACTGATCTTTTGGTTAGCAGCAAAGCACTTTAACAGCTGTACCACCAGATCTCCTATGCACTTTGAGACAGCCACTATTAATTCTATATTTCCTTCTTTTTTTTTTTTTTTCTGTTAATTTTTCCCCTTGTTTATACAGCTGAGATACAGTAATCTTTGAAAATATAAATCAGATCTTGTTCCTCCTCTATTTGAAATGCTTCCATGACTCCTTATTATAACCTAAAGGAAATGCCTAAGAATAAAATGCAAGACCCTCTATAATTTGACTCCTGCCTGATTCTTCAACCTCTATTTCTTGCAAGTCGCCACACATACTCTCTACTTTAGCCATACCAAACCACTTATTCTATTGTGTGCTTTGGACATGCTGCTCCCTCTTTCTGAACTGTATGTTCCTCAGTATTGGACCGGTGAATTCATACTCATCCTTCAGAACCCAAATGAGAAATCACCTTTGTGATGTCTTCTTTGATCCACTCCATAAGAGTTGATAACTTCTTTGTGCCACCACTAATCTATCCTTGCACATAAAAAAGGATTTTAGATATAAGTGGTTCCAATCAGACTGGTTTTGTTGTTTGTTTGTTTTCTTGAAAATTGAAATGGTGAGAGGATTTAATCCTTCAGACCTGTGTGGGGACTTGAACTTCAATAGATTCCAAGTATTAGGTTAAATCATATGAAATCTCCATCTTTTAAATGAAAAGTTATCACCATCAGCAATGTTATATAGTTCAAGTCGGTACAAAGTTATTTCAGTTGACTTTTTTAAAATTTACATTACTTGGTAGAGAAAGTCAAGACCTAACTTAGATACATTTCCAAGTCTTTCTCCTAAATGATCTGGGTCTCGGTTGGGTACCACATTAGGTACTAAGATGATGACCATTGACCTTTATTATGAGATGTGTCACCCTGTATGTGCTAGAGCCTCCCAAAAGATTTGCACTTTTCTAAGGCAGTTCTCAGACTCTGGAAATCTATAGGAAAATGATAAAATTCTGGATAGCTTCTAATACTTTAAACAAAGTCACTTTGAAGAGATTAAATATAATCACTAGGTTAATATCTACCCTATAAGTAGAGGACCCCTGGTGATAAGGTGGTTAAGGGCTTGTCTGCTAACCAACAGATTAGCAGTTTAAACCCACCAGCCTCTCCACTGGAAAAAGATGTGGCAGACAGCCTGCATCTGTAAAGATTGCAACCTTGGAAAATTTATGGGGGGTAGTTCTGCTCTGCCCTGTGGGGTTGCTATGAGGTTTACTTTGTTTTTGCTTTTATATATATACATACCAAAAAAAACCACACTGACTGCCGTCGAATTGTTTCCAACTCATAGCAACCTCTCCTTGGGTTTTCAAGGCAGTATTTCCACAAAAGTAGATTGCCCCATCTTCCTTCTGAGGAGTGGCTGGTGCTTTTGCACTGCCAGCCTTTTGGTTAGCAGTGAAATGCCTTAGGCACTACACCACCAGGTAGCGTAATGCCTAAGGCACTGACTGCTAACCAGAAAGCTGGCAGTTCAAACCCACCAGCCACTCCTCAGAAGGAAGATGGGGCAATCATAATCAGTGAAATGTATGTGGTAACTAACTGGCTGGCTCTCCCAGAGGTTCAGATTGCCAGATGCAGAAACTACCTTTTCATGAGTTCTTCTGTGGGTTGCGTTGACTTACTACTTGTAATCTTGTTTTTTCCACCCTGCATCTATAGGGTTGC